AAAAAAAAAAAAAAAAGGAAAAAAAAAAAAAAAAAAAAGGAAAAAAATCTGGGCAGCAACTGATTTTGGAATATATGTAGAAATGGGCATTTCTTTTTTTTTTTTTTTTTTGTCTTTTTGTCTTTTTTTCATGACCGGCAATGGATTGCAACCCTCAGTGTCGCGCCCGTACCGGACCGGGACCAGCAACGGGATTGCAACCCTCGGTGTCGTCCCCGCTCCTCGCTCAGCCAGTGAGCCGCCGGTCTGCACGTGGGATCCGAACCCTCGGCGGGAGCGCCGCCACACTTCCCAAGCGGCGCACTGTAGCAGTGCGCCACCGGGCCGGCCCGAAATGGGCATTTCTATTATTAAAACAACTGGGCTCTATCTAAGACTGGACCCCAATGACATATTAAAGATATATGTATTAAAGATATGCCACATGAAAAATATACCTCTGCCCTCAGGATGATGATAGCTGTGCTTTAAAAAAAAAAAAAAAACAAAAAACTAAAGTAGTTGAAGCAGCTAATGTTATTCCCTGAGCACACCCTGTGCACCAAGACTGGGGATGCAGCTGGAAGGACACAAGGTCTTTCTTCTCACGCATCTTACTTGTACCTGTGGCTGGTGGCAGTGTGGCAAAGAGTAACCAAACCTGTAAAAACAGATTATATTGGGGAATGACAGGTGCTAAGCAAACTAATGTGATAGAGAGAGACTGGGAGCCTGCTGGAGCCTTGAGTGGATGGTACTGCCATTTACTGAGGTGGGGAGGAGCACATTTAGAGGGGAGCAATTGTGAATGTTGGATTGGTTACATTTCTTTTGAAATGTTACTAGATATCCACATAGAGATGTCAAGTGTTCGGTGGCATATACTATTCTGGAGTTCTAGGAAAGAGATATAGATTTGTGAGTCATTGGACTGTGAGTGTGTAGAGCTAGGGCTGGGTCTGGAGCTCACAGACCCCTCAAGCCCATTGTCCAGATTGGGTCACAAACCCTTCACATGCAGGTCTACAAGCTAGGTAACCAGAAAAAAAGGTCCTTGGAGCCTTGGTTGAAGAAACAGTAGTCTTTATTTCTGGACACACACATCTAGGAGCTAGGCAGTTCAAAGAGAAACTCAGAAACTCAACTGCTACCACCAAAGTCCAAAGAAAAACTGAGCAGCTGCCAGCAAAGTAAACATGCTCTCTTTTTTTTACAGGCAAGCTCTTTGCCAGCCAGCAGTTTGAGGCCACTGCTCCACACAACTGAAGAACACATAAGAATAGAAACAAAACTAAAAAGATACATTGGCGTGCATGTGCACTAATTCCACCCAAGATTTGTCTGAGCAAAGACAAATCTTTTGAGAAATTTTAATACATAAAGAAGCAAAGAAATGGAACAAAATCTGTGAGGTCAGTTATTACCCTGTGACTGGTACTATGCCAAATGTTTTACATAAGTATATAGTTTCATTTTCATGCTGTTCCATTTCCCATTTTATAGGTGGAAACTGACACACAAAGAAGATAATAAATTGCAGGGTCAAACTTAGTAGGTGGTAGAGCTGAGGTTTGAACCCAGGCTTATGTGAATCCAAAGTCATTCAAGTACCTAACCCCTTATTATAGTCAATACATTACTCTGGCATGAAGAGATAATTTCGCCAAATTTTCTATAAATTAAACTTGACTGCTTAACCAAAATATTTATTTGAGAATTCTACAGCAAAATTCCAATATGGCATAAACTTTTTAGCGACCTCTAAAGATAGCCAATAAGATTTGTTTGTTTTTTCCCTAGACAAGTATTAATTATAGTTTCATTTCAATTAAAATGGAACTGCTGAAAGAAAAAGAGTAGAAAGAAAAGGGAGATCACAATGTTATATATTGTGCTGAGAAATAAGAGCCCTTCCCACATGATAGCTAATCCAGTCAAAATAATTGGCCACTTTGGTGTAAACACCTGGGAATTCTGGTTCTCCACAGTTTTCACCCCAACTCACAATACCCCAAACATAAGTCACATTGTTGACGTCCATACAGACTAAGGGGCCTCCAGAGTCCCCTTTACAGGCATCAATGGAACCATCTTTTGTACCTGAGTAAGAAACGGGAAAGAGAAAATCACACATTTTCTTTCATTTGGCAAGGCTGCCATGCTGACTTCCTGCCTTCTCCACAATGTGTGTAGTGACTGACTTCTGCTTTCTTACACTTTCCTGACAGGAAATAACATGCGCTTGTAGAGCTGGAGAGATGCAGGCTGAGAAATAATTAATAAATCTACTCATTCCCCCAAATTAGTGTGTTCTCCCTGTGTTCTCCACTTTATGTAACTGTGTACTGGGAAGAGATTACAACCCAAAAGGACCATCAAATACTGGGTGGGAAAATAATAGGAATAACTAGTGCTTATTGAGTGCTTAATATGTATCAGTCAATTATTATTTTAATTCTCAACACAACCATATGAGGTATCATTATTATCCCTATCTTACAAATGAGACAAATAAGACACAGAGAGGTTAATTAACTCATCCAAGGTCACACAGCTAATAAGGGGCAGAGCCTGGACTTGAACCCAGAAAGCCACATCTCTGTGCTATTCACCCCTTTGTTCATTGTAATCCTGAACTCCATTTCAAGATGGGAGGGCACTTTCTTTTCACTCTTATGATTTTCTAAAATTCTTAAATCACTGTATCCAAGAAGTTATAGGATGTTAATAACTCTGCCTTTTTCAGTAGTACGCTATTTGTAAATAGTTTCAATAAAGCATCCTAAATGCACTACACTGGCTGCTATCCTGCCTTTGGATCACCTCCAAAAGTAGGAGCTGCTGTAGTTATGTTAGGTAAGAGAGTTAGCATATCTATGATATCAAATACTGTGACATGAGAAGTGTAATGTGATTTCTAACTGTAAATTATGTGACATGAGAAGTGTAATGTGATTTCTAACTGTAAATTTATTTCCAACTGTAGGCATTTGAGATGAGATAACTTGAACTTTCATTTAGAAGTGGTTTTAGTTTTAATCCTGGGTATACCACTTTTTATATGTAAGACTTTGGGAAAATTGTGTGACTGCTCTGCATCTCAGTTTCCTTATGAAGAAATTTGCTCAAGGTCACATAACTAGTAACTGGTAAAAACTGGGGTATAAATCCTAGTCTGGTTCTAATGTCTGTGCTCTTAGTCACTTACTGTACTGCTATATAATAGCTTACGGAAGATTTTTTTCCTCTTAGTCTTAGAATGAGGGAACTTGAGCTAAGGGAAAGAGACTGAAAGAGTTTGACAATGCAACAGCCAGAAGGCCAAATGGAAGGGTTCAGAGCCCAGAGCAGGGGAGCTGATATGGCAGGAAGGAGGAGAGATGTGTATATATACATATATATACTTCAAAAAGCTTATGGAAGGGCTGGCTGGTTAGCTCATTTGGGAGAGTGTAGTGTGGGTAACACCAAGGTCAAGGGTTTGGATACACTTACCAGCCAGCCACCAAAAAAAAAAAAAAAAAAGTTTATGGAAGATTTGTATTATTTTTTAATTCTATTTTTCCACGAACTTTTTGAAGTGCCCTTATATATCCAATAAACCACTAAGCACTTACCTGCACATTCCATTTCTTTTTCAAAGTAGCGATTTGGGTAAAACTTAGAGCAGTTGCTTATTAGGTTAACTTCACCCCACCTAAGTGAATAGACTTTTTGGTTATCTAAACAAAATAAGAAAACAGACATTTAGAAGTCACAAATGAGAAACCTAAGTAAATACTCTCATAACTTAGTAAGCTATTAAGAATATAAAAGAATAACATATCTATCCTTTAATACCTGTATAAACTTTTGAGGATAATTCTTTAGCATACTTAATCATATTCTCCTCATATCCTTAGCGTCTATAATTATCTTTCTAAAATTGGGTGGACAGTCAAGGGGGATTATTGAACATATAATCTGAAGTCGTACTCATTTGCTAAAGAGCTGGTAGCTGAGGTGGGTGAGATAAAATCCCTCCCCTGTGGTTACCGAGTTCAACAGGGCCGTTGGATAGTAATCGGTGATGGGTTCTTCTCACATAAATAGCTCCTATCTGCTTACAGTCCCTTATTTCCTTGAAAGTGCTTGTTAGACTGAAAACAACTTTTTATTATAAGAAGTTAAAGAATATAATACGAAATTACCAATGTATACATGTTTTTGTGTGTCCGTGAAGAAATCCACCTCCTAAGCGATTTGAAATAATGAAAAGGGGATTTAGAACTTCCTTTCTACTTAAGTGAAAGTTTGGTCCAAGGAAAGAGAAGGGCTAGGTTCTGTCACTGACAGACCAAGGAAGATCAGAAAAATATAAGGATACAGGGTGAGATGCCTCAAGGGTAAGGATCTTTACCCTATCTCCCTTCCTTCTTTTTCCCAGCTCACAGCAATTTTTATGCTGCAGTTTCTCATTAGGTGTCAGCTTCCTCTCTACCCAAAGCTCCAGGAGGGTAGGGGGTGAGCCTGACTCATTCTGCACCAGCACCAAGAATCATGGTTGCACAATGTACTTGCTACATAAATATTTATGTAATTAATGCATGAACTCACAGTAGCTCAATTACATACTAAGTATCTTATGCCACATAACTCTCTGCTTTGATTAACCTATAAACTACCTGGGCACAGAGACCTCTGGTTTGTCTTGAGGACGCCCCCAACAGAACGTAGCACTGCAGTGAGCATGTACTAATTGATTGTAGAACTAATATTCTACCCTCCTGGGAAACAGAGAGGGAGATAAAAGTCCACCAAAGTACATAGCAAATTAGAAAGGAGTTTCTTTTTTTCTTTTTCAAGTCCCACTATGTTAGCTTCAAGACAAGAGCTTTTAAAATTCTTAGTAGGTTATTATTTCTCCTAATTCAGCGAAAAACTTTTAAAACTGTGAGCAATTTTAAAACTGTACTCTTGTTTTGATGCTTCTTGAGGTACTTGTCATGTTCTGCTGTCTGATGGTGGCATTCATGTCTGAGGGCTCCTCTGTACGGTGAGCCCCTTGAGAGCTGGCTTTCCTCTTTCAATCTTGGAAACTCTTCCTCCCCTCATTTATTGATGGGGTCCATGTTTTTCATCAGTGAAATCTTAGCACTTTAACATTACTACCTTGCACACATAGTACATGCTCAATAAATGTGTTAAACTACATTTGATTAATAAATTAATCATTGATTAAGAACATATCTAACTACCAGTTTATAAGAAATACACGTAATAAAAGAACATTTTAAAAGCCACATCAAGGATACCAAGTTCAAGGTGTGGAAATTCTAAAATAGGAATTTTCCACTTTCTTTAATAAATACATATTAAATTTTTTTTTTTGTCCTTTTTGAGATCAGCCGCACCGCGCTCAACGCTGTGAGCGCACCGGTCATCCCTATACAGGATCCGAACCCGCGGCGGGAGCGCTGCTGCGCTCCCAGCGCCGCACTCTCCTGAGTGCGCCACGGGCTCGGCCCATATTAAATTTTTTTTAAAAAATGGTAACTGTTCTAGATTTGAAGATATTAAAGAAAAATAGCCACCAAACGCAATGTGTGGATTTGGATCCTGATTCAAATAATCTGATTGTAAAAATATTTTTGTAAATAAATGAGGAATGTTAAACATGGATTGGTTATTAGATCATATTAAGGAATCACTTCCATTTAGTTGGGTATGAAAATACTGGAGTACTTATGGGTGAAATTACATGACATCTGGGATTTGATTTAATATACTTCAGGAAAAATATGTAGGGGAAAATGTTGAAGAGCTCCTGATTGTCCCTCAGATCCATTCCCCACCCTGTCCTAAGAGCCTGACCTGTCCTAAGAGCCAGACCTGTAGAGACTGCCTCAACAGGAGGCCCTTGGCCTTTGGTTTCCCACAAAGAGGAACCCAGTTGGAAGGAGGAAGGAAGGAGGAAGGATAGTGAGATTGGGGTTGGCTATAACCTTCAACTCAAGGTCAATGCTTTTCTCAAGGCAGCCTGTTTTACCTGAGACTCTCTTCTGGTAACTTCTTTTCTTAAGCCTTCAGATCTAGGGGTGGTGACAGCTTTGGTACTGCTAGTCCTGGGTTCCTGTGTAGCCCTTGTGGTTCCCCAACCTCTGCCCCTTTATAAATAAACCTTTCTAATTACCCTATTGAGACCCTGATTGATACTAGGAGATAAAACAAGAATGGCAGAATGTTGATAACTATGAAAACTGGGTGATGGATAAGTAAGGGTTTATTATACTTTTATCTTTACTTTTGTATATATTTGTAAATATGCATAATAAAAGGTGTTTTGTTTTTTTTAAAACAGAACAAATATAAGGACACAATACCTTATGAATGAGTTAATTCCTAATAAAATTTAGTATTTTATAAGTCTTGGGTATTCAAACATAGTACAAATCCAGGTTAATTTATACATACGTTTTACACTTTTCAATGTGGCAATTATAAAGAATGTGTTAGAATATAAGTCTATAAGGCCAATGCAATGAAGTTACTTAGGATTTCATCTTACAAGGAGTTTAAGAGGTCAAAAGGAAGCTAAATTTAGAGGTCAAATTTTCAAGGTGAATGAGAAAGTGTTGGCTTGTTTAATTCTAATCAAATCTCTAATTTCAGCAGTTCCTTCTAATAATTTGTCTCTAAGTCAACTTGTCTCACATCTCTTATTTATATGAAGTGTTCACCTCAAGTCTTTTTAGAAACTCAAAGAACGAATTCCTTATGTTCCCTTCTCTTTGTGGAGGGGGTTGGGCAGGGGGAATGGGGAGCAGGAGGGTTGTAGGGAATTTGTGATTCAACATATACTGAAGCTATCCTTTTGCAAATCTTTTTTTTTTTTTTTTTGACCGGTAAGGGGATTGTAACCCTTGGCTTGGTGTCATCTGCACCACGCTCAGCCAGTGAGTGCACCAGCCATCCCTATATAGGATCCGAGCCTGCGGGGCCGGCCCCTTTTGCAAACCTTTTAATCTTCCATCCACATCTCTCCAACAAACCACAAAGGTCATGCTGTATGTCTCCCTGTTTATATATATTTTTCTTGATGACTGGTTAGTCCTCAATGTTTCCTTCAGATCACAGAGTTTGTGTCCTTTGAAAGTCTGTTTAGGACTGGCTGCACAATTTTCAGGACCCAGTGAAAAATGGAAGTGTGGGGTGGGGCCCCTTCTAAAATTATTAGGGATTTCATGGTGGTGATAGTAGAGCCATAAATCCAGCACAGAGCCCTTTGAAGTGCCAGGTGCTGGGCAAGCGTACAGGTTGCAAGCCCGTGAAGCTGGCCGGCCCTGGCTGGGTGCTCACTTTTCTGGATATGATGTATGTTTCTCTCTGAGTACTAGAAGATTAGTTCCCATGCATTTCTACTTCCGTTCATTTCCAACCCCTGGATTCTGTTTAACAAATTATAAAGCATATACCTTTTTCTCGGCCCCAGCCAGAAACGATGCATTTATCATTAGGTTGGAATAGATATGGAGACCAGGGGACACAGGCAGGGATGGAATTAGGCAGCTCACATTCTTTGCGGTTTGAGAATTTTTTCATTTCAAGCAAAGCTATGTCATTTTCGTAGGTGGTGCCATTGTATTTTTCATGGATGATAACTTTATTCACTGTTTCAACCAATAGCTCAGAGTTAGGTCTTATCCAGTCTACTAATGATGTCCATACTTGGTAATGGCGAGTTTTACTGACTCTGTAACAGAAAGGAAAAGAGAAATAAAATATGATGTGAAAAAATATGTATAAATATGGAATTCCGACACTTCATCTTTATATTTTTCCTTTTAAAGGAACTTTTTCGTTTTCACAAATTTTTGTTGTTGTTCCTGCTGTCATGAAGCAGTGAGATTAAATTTACTTAGTGCAGAATTAGGTCAGTGGTAAATGGGGAGAGGAATAATCCACCTAACTGCTCAATATCAGGAACATAAGAAACTCACTGACTAGAGCTGCCCAGAAGCAAATGAGTTTTCTGCTTCTAGAGTGAGTGCTGGTGTTTAAGCAGAGACCAGACGGCATCTTGCCAGAAATGTGTTTTAAAAACTGGGGTGTTGGACCGCACACTCTCTTCACTCTGCCAATCCCAGAGGTCCTCAGGCAAAGACCACAGCAGTCATTTTCCTGGCCCTTAAGACTGACTTCCTCCCAACATTGTGCTGTGTTTATTTGTCCACATTCCTTTCTTCCTGCTAGACTCTGTTGCTGGAAGTCAGAGATGGGGTCTAATTCATGTATGCAGCCCCTGCACCTATTATTGTACCTGGAACACAGTAGCTGCTTTAAATTATCCTGCTGAAACAGTAAATGAGCTAAATATTGCCTATTCTTATTCCTCACTCCATTTTCATACCAATTTTCAACACATGGTTTCAAGCAAATTAGGCATCTACCATCATCTTCTTAGAGAATAGTACAGAGTCACTTTGGCGAAGTATTATTTAGTTTTTTTTTTTTTTTTGTCTTTTGAAGTAAGGTGCTAAATAATGACTTCATAGTCTAGTTTCCAAACAATGAAGTGTTTCATTAAATGGATTTTCCTTAAGCAACAAAACTTATTTTAAACAATTTAATGAAAATCTTTTTTTTTTTTTTTACTGACCGGCAACGGGATCACAACCCTCTGTGCTGCGCCCACACCGCGCTCAGCCAGTGAGCGGGAACCGGTCTCCACATGGGATCCGAACCCTCGGCAGGAGCGCCGCCGCGCTCCCAAGCGGTGCACTCTCCAGTGTGCCACCGGGCTGGCCCTAATGAAAATCTTTAAAAAATGTATTATCTATATACTTTCTGCTTCTTCAAACAGCATAAACTGAATAGAATTTATCCTTACATAATGGTGATTCAGGTAATCACCTTACAGTGAAACAGTGATGTCCTAGGAGAAAATGAGACGTTCAGGATGCTTTTTATTTATACTTGGTGTTCCAAGAATGCTGTCCTTCATATTAACTTTGGTTGTTTTTCAGGACTAGAGGTCCTGAATATTGCTTAAAGGTTAACTTCACTTATTCACTCAATTTACTCAACAAATACTTAATGTTCACCTACTATATATACCAGGCACTGTGTTAGGCACTGGGATGCAGAAATGAACAAAATCAGAAATAGTTCCTGCTTTCGTGGAGCTCGGGGTCTAGGGCAAGATGTAAGATTAAATGTATAATCGCATGCATGAAGGTATGTATTCTACCATGAAAAGTGAGAGGAATGAACTGTATCTGGGCTTTCAAGAACTTATCAAGAGGGCTTTGGCTTAAGGGAGTCAGGGAAGTTTCTCTAAGGAAGTAAAGTTTGAGCTGACATCTGAATAAAGAGGAGCACTAAGTAGGAAAGAAATGGTAAAGAAGATCATTCCAGGCAGAAGAAACAATATATGAAGGTCCCTTCGCAGGAGGAGCAAATGTGCTTGAGTAGCTGAAAGAAGTCCAGAGTGGGTGGAGCAGAGAGCAGGAGGTGGAGCTGTGGGGCACGATGAGACTGGCAAAGGTAAGGAGGGGTCAGATCATATGAGGCTAATGGCCATGTTAAAAATCTTGTTTAGATTTTTATCCTAAGAGGAATGCAAAGTCTTTAAATTTTAAGTGTTAAGTGATCAAAACCAGGTACAGAAACATTGTACTTGCTGCACTGTAGAGAACAGATAGGTGGGGATAGTGGATGGACAGAATGAATGTAGGTAGGCCGATTAGGAGGCAATTGGTATAATCCAGATGAAAGGGGAAAAGCAGGGTAATGGTAGAGATGGAGAGAAATTTTGAGAATTAAATAATTAGAAATTTAAAATGCCATCTGGAGTTGGTGAAATAATGACTGGACTGTGGTACAGTTGAGGAAGTGAAATACGATGATTCTTAGATTTCTGCTTTGTGTAACTAGATGTACAGTGTTGTCATTTGCTGAGATAGGAAACACCGGAACAGGACCATATTTGGGGGAAGGGACATACCACGAGCTTAGCCATAGGCATTTTGAATTTGACATATTTTTGATATAGCCAAGAAGTGTTGACTGTAGGATCAGTGGTTGGAGGAGAGGGCCCAGGCTGCAGATATCACTTTGTCAGCATAGAGTGGTATTTTAAACCACAGGTGTCTTCAGAAAGAAGGAGTAAGAAGAGAGGAGGAAGCCAGGCTAAACATTGAGGAGCTCCAGGATTTCAGCTGAGCAGTGATGCTCAAGCACAGAAGGGGGGAATCTGCCAAGATGGCAGAAAAGGTGTGGCCAGAGAGACAGGCAGAAAAGCAGGAGAGTGTGGTGTCACAGAAGTCAAGAAAAAAGGATCTTTAAGAAGGAAGATATTAGATTTGGGCCATGGCTCTAATCCAAGAGGACTTTTATAGGTGTCATTTAATTTGCTATTCCCTCCCAACTTTGGGTCACCTGAAGATTTGCTAAGCAGACCTTCATCTAAGTGACTGTCAAATATGTTGAAGTTGATTTTATCCTGACTCTGCTAGCATAGTTTTAGCTAGGTCATGTAACTTCTCAGTCTCACTCTGCTTATCTACAAAATGGGAAGAAAAGTATTTACCTTTTAGGACTGTTGAAAATATTAAACAAGATAACAAATGTGAAAGTGCCTGGCCCAGTACCTGGTCGGTGAGAGATATTCAATAATGACATTTCATTTATTCTGAAGGCCAGAACTGAGGGCAGAATCCTGAGCTCTGCCCTTCTATCTTGATTTATTAAACAACACTGCAATTCAGCTATTGTTATGGGCTGAATTGTGTATACCCTATATCTTGAAGCCCTACCCATAATGTGACTGCATTTGGAGATAGGGCCTTTAAAGAGTTAATTAAGGGCTCAGTTGGTTAGAGCATGGTTCTAACACCGAGGTCAAGGGTTCAGATCCTTGTGCTTGCCATCTGCCAAAAAATAATAAAATAAATAAATAAAGAGGTATTTCAGGTTAAATGAGGTCATAAGGGTGGGGCCATAATCCAATAGCACTAGTGTCCTTATACAAAGAGAGAGAGAGAGAGACAGTATGGATACATGTGCACAGAGTAAAGTCCAGATAAGGACACAGTGAGAAGGTACCCATCTGTAAGCCTAGAGAGAGGACTCAGGAGAAACCAACCCTGCTGGCACCTTGATCTTGGACTTCCACCCTCCAGACCTGTGAAAAAAGAAATTCCTTTTTTTAAAGCCACCCAGTTTGTGGTATTTTGTTATGGCAGCCCCAGCAAACCAGTACAGCCACTTCTAACTTGCCTTATTAGTCCTGCATAAAACTTGTCTTTTCCATTCGTAGGATACTATGATACATCTTGTCACATGTCACTGCTGAATCCACACTACGTCTACCCCACTTCTCAGACCCAAGAGTCTCTAAACCCTGCCAAAGGAGAAGATAACATGACTTGTTCTTTAGCAGGCCAGTCTTCTCCCACTCCTCTGCAGGAAATCTAAAATATATTGACAACATTTTTAGTTCTTCAATGACTCATGGCCCATCGGCCAGGACCTGCTTGCTGCAGCCCAGGGAACTTTCAAACAGCAGACTGCAGTATGAGTGGTGCCCCCTAGATGGTGCAGTGCAGTGGCCCCACCTCCAAAATGATGGGCCCAGGCCATAGCTCTGAGTCGTGTACCCATGTAAGCAATTTATCCAGAATCACAGAGCAAGCCAGCCAGTGCTGAAGCAGAATGTAAGATAATTAGCATCGAGCTTTGAACAGTTCCTTTATTGCCTGGAACACACATCAAATACATTTAAGGGTACATGGATGGGAAAAAATGACTTGTGTGTTCATTGCCTTTGAATACACGCAGCTCTTTAAACAACATTCTTCTTGAGGTAAGACCAGAGGAAATGCTGAGTTAGTATTAGCTCTTTATAAACTCCCAGTCATAAACTCTTCCAGTTTGGTCCCAGCTGGAAATGGTCTGTGGAATTGAACCCATTGGCCTCTGGAGTCCCAGTCATGAATACCAGAGGATATTTAGCAGTTAATAGAGTGGAACTTGTCAATGATTTTTCTCAGATACGCTTTTATTTATCATCTGCCACAATCTCTATTACTTGTTTTCATTGTTTCAGGAAATCTAAAATATATTGACAACATTTTTTACCTGACACAGTGTGCAGCAGTCAGAATCCAACAGCCACCAATATAAATTCCACCACATTTGATTTCTTTGCCATCCTTAATTGCCACCTGCCATGGTAAGTCTCCCTGTAAAAGATATTTGCATGGTCACTGCCATTCTACTGGATAGTGATACAAACAGGAAGCCCTGAGATACCTCTATTGTTAGATTCCTGGTCTTTTGTAATCACATCACCCCTGATTTTTTTTTGTTTTCCCCCACAACTTGGGCTGTTCCTGGGAAGTAAACGTAGCGACTTGTCATGTGGCTTTACCACTCCTGCTGGCTTTCCTCCGACGACTCGCTTCCTCCGAGCGTGTGAGCTGTTTTTAATTCCGCAGGATAGTTTAGGTAAGAATGACTTTATCTGCTTTCTTTCTTCAAGAAAGGAAGAGATCATATCATTATTATTTTGAACCCGTTACCTTCTGGACACTTCTCGATTATCTATGCCACAAAAACAGCAGATTCACAGCTAATACAAAACAGGCTGGATTCATTAGTAAATTATTTTGGATGCTAAACTGCATGCACTATTCACCTTGTTTAAAAATTCTGCCTTAATATTAAGATCAGCTTGATTCTCTAAAGTTCCGTCTAAAGGTGAAGTAGTGGCAAGAAGAGGCTGGCCAGGGGGTTAAACATTTACTAGCTTCTAGCAGATGAGAGATGACACATGTCCAGGCACTACCACAGTGACTGCTCAGCATAGGGTCATGTTCTGAAATCAGAATAAGCTGACCAAGTGGGGAACTGTATTTTCTCACTCTCATAGTTTCTAACCTTCTAGAGGCTGTTTATATGGTACTCTTCAGTAATATCAATATTAACATCAATAGTATTAATACTGAGTACTTTCTATGTGTCAGGCCCCATACTAAGCACTCTGTATAGTTAATCATCATGTTAACCCTGAGAGATAATGTGCATGTGCCAGGGACTCCCAGACAAGTGGATCAGCCAGACAGGGGGTGTTTTTTAGCCATTTGACATGTAATGATGTTTCCTTCCTCTGTCTGTGAGCATGCAGACATGGCACAATTGTCACTGAGAAAACATGGTAGAGTAAGACTTAAGGCATGATTAATTTCCAAGAAAATTCATAACAAAGGAAGAAAGTAAAAGATGCTGCCTTTATTCCCTCTCTATATTTTATCATGTCATGAAAACTTTTGTAAACTTGCTTCTTAGCCCCAAATGTGAAATGAAAATTATTATCACTATTAATCATTTTGGGCTTACTGAAAGAAGGTAGGCCCCCAAGTGGGAGAAGTTGAACATGGATGGAAGATTTTTTCTGGTCTCAGCCATCCAAAGAACTTGGTTGGGAGAAGAGTGTGCTGGTAAGTCTTAAGTGTTTGCTTGGACTTTTGGAAGAAGAGACCTCATCCATTGAGGACTGTGAAATCGGTTTGGGTAGTACCTGAAAATTAATGCTGTCTTGAGAAGAAAATAAAGGGCCTTTATTTCCTTCAAATCCCTTTTGATTGATATTTGTTGCTTCAAGATCTAAATCTTCCATTCGTTGCCTGATTAAAAATTTTTTAAAATTAATTTTGTGGCCTGGCAATTACAAAGGAATTTAATATGAAGTTTATTTTAAAATCTCCCTAAAACAGGGAGCTATTTTATTCCAATTAGTATTTGAGGTAAAGTTATTCACCTAAGGTTACATGGCTAATAAATAACTGAATCAGGATTTAACCCATGTCTGTCTGATCCGAAAGCTCTAATTAATTACTACCTTCCCAAGAACATAACAGTTAAATTTAATTTGGCTCTTAGTGCACAATTTCCAGGGTATAGATCTTCAAAGGCCTCCTGCTTTTATGTTTTATAACATTGTGAAAGAACAGCTTAATTCAATTAACATCTATTATTTTTCTATTTCAAAATGTATGTCATAAGTCATTCTTGAAATCTGGTTGTTTTTGACAAAATTGACCTGGCAAAGTTTATATCAAATAGAAAAACATTATGTAGGACTAGAGTATTGTTTTCACTTCAAAATTAGCCATATGAATTAACCCAGTTTTATATTTATTTATTTATTTATTTATATTTTATTTTTTAAAAAGATGACCGGTAAGACAATCTTAGCCCTTGACTTGGTGTTGTCAGCACCACGCTCTCCCATGTGAGACATGGGCCAGCTCTAAATTAACCCAGTTTTAAAAGCAGTTTTCAAGAATCATTTATGCTTGTTTTTCTTAAAAGCAAGAGGGAAAAGAGAAGAACAATGTAATATTTGTTCAATTTAAATTGATATCGGGGCTGGCCTGTGGCTCACTTGGGAGAGTGCGGTGCTGATAACACCAAGGCCCTGGGTTCGGATCCAATATAGGGATGGCCGGTTAGCTCATTGGGTGAGTGTGGTGCTGACAACACCAAGCCAAGGGTTAAGATCCCCTTACCAGTCATCTTTTAAAAAAAGAAATAAATAAAAATAAATTGATATCAAAGTGAATTGTTGCTTGAATTGATTATATACAGATACATGCATTGTCACACATGCCTTTAAAATGCAAGCTTAACAGGTGAACCACTAGTAAAGAAAGTATAATGTTAACTTACCTGCATCCATATCAGCAGTCAACATTTCTGTTTCTTCTATGATAAAACAAAAAGTTCCAACGTTTAAAGTTGTGTTTGTAGTGAAAATTAAATCATTAAATCGTTTAAACATTGATAATTTTCTGTCTTAAAAGTTGTCCTCTCTTTAAAAAGGACTGTACCAAATCCCCAGAGCATGTCATCTTATTTCCTTTTTACAGCTAGGCAATAAAGTCTCAAGATGAACTACACAGAAATTCCTGCTGGCACAAACTTGAGGCGTCTGCTGGGACAAGTGAATGGTGGGACTCATGGTTGCAGTTTTCTGTATTTAGAGCAGGCAAAAATGCATGGATAAGAGAAGGAAATCTTCTCCTTCGACTCTCTGCATTCACAGGGTCTTTATATGAGGTAGGGAGAGTCACGAACACTGACCAAGAAAGTCCTGAGCTGACATTAAAAAGGCTCCTCTCACTTTGTCATAGAAAGGTACTTCTTACAGGAATCATGCAAACATGATATTTCATTGGTTTCGGTATTGGATATGGTTAGCATTAGGCATCTGGCATGTAGAAGTCAAAAGAAAAAAAAATTCTCCTTTCTCCCTTAGACTTTTGCTTGAAGTTATACACAATGTTCCCATTTTCACTCTGCCATTCTAGAACATTTCAGTGGACAGGATCATAATTTCTTTGACCTGGGATCCCAAGGCAGATTTCCCACCAACATCTTGCTCTACCTTGGATGAGGATGTGGCTGGGGATGGCATAGCCCAGTAGGGCAATGTTACTTTGCTGCAGCAATCCTGTGTCCTGTCCTTGGATTTCCCAAGTTCTCTTTGGGACAGTCATATATAAGTCTGTTATGCCACACACCTAAGTTTTCTTCTGGAACAGAGAGAAGCTCTGCTCAGAAGCATTCACAAAAGCACCCTCAAGAATCAGAGAAGACTCAAATATTCACATTAAATTCTCAACAAAAGAAAATGGGGACATGCCTGGCCCGCCACGCCAGGTTCTCGGCCCTTTCAGACTGCCCCTCTGGCACTCTGTCCTGCTCTGCGCCACTGTTTCTTTGTCACCAGGTCTTTTTCAGATAGGACAGAGTAATAAGGGAATCTAGGACTTTGACAGAGCAGATAGTTCTGCTTCGAACGACCATGGAATGGAATTTTTTCTTACCAGGAAGGCTTTGATATTCTCTTTGCCTTTCATCTTCACTTGTATGATCTCCTACTCTTGATGCTGCAAGAACATGACCTGACATCAAATCTTCCCCTGTTAGGAGAGGGACATTTGGGCAGGCTGTGCATGGAGTTTTCTCACCTCATAAAACCCTCCTGGTCTTTCAGGGGAACCAGTGAGATTGGGGTGCACAGAAGGGTCCTAGGTAATTATTAATAGACACCCCCTTTTGGGCTTCCAGTCAAGATGGCAGAATAGACAATCCCCAGCGTCACTCTCTCCCACAGATCAACTAATTTACAACTTTTAAAAAGCAATGATAGGGCCGACCCCGTGGCTCACTTGGGAGAGTGCGGTGCTGGGAGCGCAGAGGCGCTCCTGCCGCGGGTTCGCATCCTGTATAGGGATGGCTGGTGCGCTCACTGGCTGAGCGCAGTGTGGGTGACACCAAGCCAAGGGTTGCGATTCCCTTACCAGTCACACACACACACACACACACAAAAGCAATGATAGCCAAACTGGGGCTGCCAGAGCTCAGGGGAAGAGGAGGAGAGACCTAAGGAGTTCATGAAGGTGAGAGAAGCCACAATGAGAGAAAGAAAAAACCGCTTCAACCATTTTGAATCCGGGCCATTTCCAGGCTGGAGCTGCTGAGCACACAGAGCAGGAGCTGGCAAAGGTGCAGCTGTGCCCTCTGGATGAAGTTGCTTGGAGGCAGCATGGGAGAAGACGACCATGGTGGTCCCCAGGTCAGAAAGACCACTAACGGGGTACCCATGGACCCACATAAGAGTGAGGAGCCACAACAAATGAAAAAAGGAGCCACTCAGAGGCCAGTGAGTCATCGCAAGGGACCAGCACATGGCCTGTCCAATGGGAAATGTTTGCAGCATGGGCAGTGGGGGAAACGGGCTCACTGGGAGAACACTGGGGCACAGCAAGGACAGCTCATCTGCCTCCCAATCAGCGTAGGATCACTCAGAGGAGACTGGTCAGGAATATAGAACTGCATGGGGTGCAGTTTGATGAAAAGACTCAGGCCCAGACCAGTGTTTCTACACAACCCAGGTGCAGCAGATTTCACTAAACCTGGAAGTACCTATAAAGCCAACCACTAAAACCTGAGCTGCACAAAAAGCCTTCCCCAGGGAATCAGCAGCAAAGCAGCAATTTAGCTCAACCACAGAGCTCAAGTGCTGGTCCCCACAGGAAGTTCCCCCATTTTAGAAGTAAGCAAAAGATGACAAATTAGTTCCAGCACAGAGTTTAAGTGGTAGGAACAGCAAATAATCCAACACAGAACTGAAAGAAACAACAAAGTACCCATTGGGGCCTGCCGGGGTCCTGAGATATGGAGCCAGGAGCCACCAGCAAGGTAAGGAGCATGCCAAAAACATCACCTCCATGTAGGTTGTCCACTACAGCCACCACAATAACCACAACTGCCACAAAAGTGGCTAGATACCACAACCACTGTGCAGATGGTCCGTCAGCCACTGGAGTGCATTGACACAAGGAGAGTCACCAGTAGAGACCAGAGAAAAGAAGAGGATGTCTCTCTCCACAAAGCCCATTCCAGAGTGACAGAAGAAGCATCTGCTCTGCGATAATATTGGGGGAACTGAACACACCACTCACCATTGGACAGATCATCTAGGCAACAAATCAACAGAGTAACCATTACTCTTTCAGAGGGAGAGAAGAAATCTAAGGTTATCAGAAACGGGAGGGGGAGGGAGAGAGGGATGGGGTGAGACTGGACAAGGGGCATAAAGAATAAGTACGATTTGTAACAATATATATGCAAGTAATATTGATTTGATCAACATATCTCAATGTTGAACCCGCAAAACATGTATAATCAATTATGATTCAATAAAAATTAAAAAAAAAAAAAAGAAAAGAAAAGAAAAAGAAAGTGGGAAAGTCCAGTGTAGCTGATGTGTACTGGGTGTTAAAAGAACAGCACAAAGCTTCAAAAGCACAAACCATGAGAAAGACAATCGATGACTTTGATTATGTAAAAATAAAGGATTTCTATTCAACAAATCTCACCATGGATAGAGGTAGTAGGTGGGTCACAAAATGGAAGAAGCTATTTGCAATGTTTAAACATGACAATGGATTGATATCTAGAATGTAAAAGGAACCCCTGCAAATCAATAAGAAGGAAGATTGCAATGAAAGATACATGAAATTAAGCAAAGGATGTGAACTAGTGAAAGGATGAGGAAACTCAAAAAGCTAGTATGCATATGAAGAGCAACTCAAAATCATTGGTTATTACAAAAATTCAAGTTAATAAAAAATGCCATCACCTGACAGTATGAGACCAGTAAAATTAGAAGGGTGGATAGTGCTAAATGTTTGTGGGATTGAGTAGAATCCCAGTACATAACAGCTCTGCCAAAGAACATACAGGCACTAGCAATCAAATTAAGAAGAGGCATACCCCAAGACTCAACAATCCCTTGCCCAGCTAGATGTCTCAAAGAAATTCTTCCACACATCCTTAAGGAGAGGATATTCATCACAGTGTGACTGTAGGCTGCGAGTCCATTATTGAGAAGGTGGAGAGTAAATTGTGAAAGATGAACACAGCAGAGTATTTTATGCAGTAGTTAGAAGTGACAGATTAAATGAACTCATAGCAACATGGACAGATCTTTAAAATGTAATGCTTCATGAAAAGAAAAAAAATATGAGATCTATAACCCGGCATAGTATGTAAATTATATTGCTCACAAGAATGCATACAAACCAAAGGATATACACATTAAATCACATTAAAATGGTTGTCTGTGAGAGTAAGGTACAGGGATAAAGGGAAATAAATAAGTAAAACAAGAGATGGGCTTTGCCTGGACCAGTGAAGGTCATATATGGTGAATTAAGGAGTATCAGTAACTCATCCCTTCTCCCCTGAGGTTTGAAACTAGGATGGGAGAAAGGCAGGAAAGGAAGGAGAGAGGGAAGGGGAAAAGGAGTAAAGAAGGAAAACAAACAAACAAACAAACAAACAAAAAACCAGCATCTTCAGAGGGCCAAATGACAAATGAGAAGGAATTCAGTGAAATTATTGAGAATAGGCATTCAGAGCAAGGGATGATTTTGAGCTAGTGAGTCCCCCGGGAATCCTAGGAAATCCTAAGGAGGACCAGGAACTTCTGCTATTATGTGGGCTGGGGACTTAAGTAATTTTATATGAATCTTTAAGAAAAGGGTAGTTCCAAAGAGCTGAAGGATTTGGGGACATCTGACTTATATAAGTAAATAGTCAAATAACTATCATGAAAAGATATTTTTCCTTTGGTGGTAATTTCTTCAGGAGTTGCCTTGGTTTTTGAGAAAAAATTTAAAGATGAGAAAGGTATTTGGCAAAGGTGAAATGTGCAGGAAGAGTCATCTTTGGGTGTTTTTTGTTCAGTAGGTTGTGAATGGGGTGTGTGAGAATGAAAGTTTATCACATTGAAGAAAGAACTCTGCTCCTAAACTTATGTTAAAGCTGGGTTATTGGTAACACGGTCGTATCATACTCAGTTAATAGGTGCAGTAAAATATAAGACAAGAGAACATTAGTTTTTTTTTCAATTTTCCAATGTCCTAAGAATTTAATTAAATTTTTACCTTGAGCCACAGTTGCAAAGTCTGAAAAAAACAAAAGCCAAAAGTAAAAAATGTACCACAGCAGAGGATAACTTTCATTTGAAAAAAATACACACCATATTAATATACTGACTATATATCATAAAAACTATAGCACCTTATTTTTGGTTTCAATTCTGTAACATACATTTTCTATTACTGAAAAAAAAAAAAAAAGATTTACCTCGAAGTGCAAGATGTCCAGCTCCTAAAAACAAAACAAAAAGCTCAATATAACAAAGAGATCATTTTCATTTAAATGAAATATATAGAAATCATTAATATTTCAGAAATAGCATAACAATTTAGATTAATAGTTACAAAAAGATAAAAGGAAACTACAGAATGCCATTTTAGTTTAATTTTTAATACTGTGTAACAAAATTTTCATCTTGCACTTAAACACACACCAATTTCACCACAGCAAGGAAATCATTTTAATTTGAATACTTGAGTTGTTAAAAATTAATATCTTAGGTACATTTGAGCACATACTTAACAGAAAACTTACTATACAGATATACCAAATTTATGACTATTGTTAACATATTAATAAAAGGAGGGCATATAAAAAATGAGTGCAATCAAGATATAATCCAAGCTTCCCTGGATTTAGCGATTCTGACCTGGCCACTTAAAGTAGAAGTCAATGAATATATTAATATTTTAATTTTACATTGCTGCTCTCGCTTGCCCTCTTTTAGAGGGGTAAGGTTAGAAACAGTACTGAAATACAAAAGGCAGAGCTCATCCTAAAGAAAGGTAAACTGAAGTAATAGTGACAGTTGACTAAATGTATTTTTGATATGAATTCAAGAAATTGATATGAAAATAAGATTTATGTTGTTCTTACTCTCTTGTAGTAGGATTCTTTTTTCCTGATAAACTAGCAAATTGTGTTCCTTGACATACAACTTTAGAATTTTAAATGGGGGGCGGGGGGAGGAGGGAAAAGAAGAGGAAGAGAAAAAAGCCCAGAATATCATTATACCGAAGTAAGATCAAACTGGAGAGCTTCACTGGCAAAAGCCGTGGTTCACTGTCCTCCTCCCTGAAAACATTTTTTTCTTCCACTCTTCACTAAGGATTGAACTAAATGTAATGAATAAACACTGGTGTTTAACTGCTTATAGACCCTTCAAAAGATATGCTTTGAAATTCCAAAAAGCATATTCTTTAATTGAAGAACTGATGTCAATGGAAAATTAAACAAAATTTCAGTGAAGTCTAACCCTGGGAATCCCAAGTAATGACAAAGTATAATTTGCACAGACTCATTTATCCACACATATCTTCGACATGTGTTTAATGCTTATGTATCAGGCACTTCTCCCAGGACATGTGGAATGTAAAAGTAATTAGATCCTATTCCGAGGTGTTCACCGCTGAGCAGGAAGGGTAGACAGGCACAGCAGCTGCAGGGCCCGCGCCGACGCAGTCCACACACGCCCGTGGTGCCCGCCACTCCCAGCTCGTGTTCTGTGACGTCCTGCCGAGAGTTTGAAATCACTTACGGTGGGAGGGTTTATACCACAGAAATGGGGAAAAGCTACCAATCAGGGCTTTTCTCTTCCTCTCCCAAGCCAGTTGTTAAACGTTTACCAGCACGCCACTGGGTAAGTCCCATAAATGACGTGGCTCCTCCCGCAGCCCCCCCATCTCAGTTGATAGCAGCTCCAGCCTTTCCATTCTCAGGCCAAAACGCCTGCAGCCCTCCTTGACTGCTCCCTTACTCTCATACCCCCATCCAATGTATGGGCAAATCTTGTCCGTTCCACCTTCAAAACATATCCAGAATCTGATTGCATCTCGTCATTTCCATTCCTACCAGCAGGTCCTAGTCCCTGGGTGGCTGCAGTAGCTTCCCACCTGGTGTCCCTGCTTCTCCCCTTGTCCTTATATAGCCTATTCCCCACCCAGCAGCCAAAATAATCTTAATTTAAAACGTAAGGCAGATCATGTCACTCCTTTGCTAAAAGTCATGTAGTGGCTCCCCATTTCACTCACTAACCAGCCTTACTTCATCTGTCCCGACACCTCCTGTCCCCACCTTTAGTGCGTCACTACCATTGCCCTGTTACTTGTCCCTCAGACATGCTAGGAACATCGCACTGGCTGTTGCTTCCTCCTGGAACACTGTTCCGCAGACCTCTGCGTGGCAGGCTGCATCATTTCCTCCAGCTTGTTAACTTAAAAGTAACCTCAGTGGGTGAGGTCTTCCCAGGCCACCCTATCTAATATTCCAAAATTTACCCCCTGACATTTTATATCCTCCTTTCTTGCTTTATTTTTCTTTATAGTACTTTTTATTTTACTTGATATTTCTCTTATTTATTGTCTTTCTTCCCCTGCCAGAAGGTAAGATCTATGAAGGGGAAGGGATTTTTGTAATGTTGTTTTGTTCACTATTGTAACCCCAGCACCTAGAGCACAGCCTGGCCCACAAAATAGGAATTTAATAAGTATTCACTGGGTAAATGAATGAATGTAAGAACTTAAAGAGATTTTTCTTCCAGAAAGCATTGATGGGAGCAAAAGGTCAGTCTGTGTGGCACAGAGTAGGTACATAATAAATATTTTTCACCATTGGAGGTTGTCCAGAGCACTAACTCATTGCTTTGAAAGCTGGTAAGTGAAAGAAAGAAATTATCCTGCCTTTCTACTATGAATAACATTTCATGGAAACAAAATAGTTGATAACGGAAAGTTTTTTTCTATAGAATTCCAGTTAATAAATGCAGAAGAAATGATAAAGTTAGAAATCACCATTATATTGCCCCTATTGACAAAATGGAAATGCCCACTCAGTAGTATTCTCACTGTTACACCCACCTGTGGTCATTTAAGATTACAATTTACCTAAAGAAAAGGTGCAGAATCCCTGGATTCAACAATGAAAAAAAAAGTCACTGCAAAACTTTAAATTACCTTCACAATTAACTTCATCATCTCCGGTAATGCAGTCCACCTCACCATTGCATTTATACTGGTTTGGAATACACACACCCGATTTACAGCGGAAACTTCCACTTCTGCACTCTGTGCAAACATAATAGGAGAGGTTTTTGGCATTTCTTAAGATTGAATGAGATGGAATCTTAAATTCAGTGGTAAAGTTGTTTGGTTTTACTCGTTTAGTCAGAAGAATAAATTTGAGAGATTTAAAGGCTAGAATCTACCTTTACAGCATAGCTCATCACTTAGGTCTCCACAATCATTGACACCATCACAAGCCTTCTTCTGAAGAATGTATTTTCCATTCACACACTGAAAGGACTCTTTTTCTGGAGGAGCTGTAAAGCAGGAATTATCTTTGTGAAATTTATATATGGAGTGGCATAACATCCTTATCACATTTTTGGGATAATGGGGTCATTAAGATAAAGTCTGACCTCAAAAAATGATATAAAATATATTGGTAGTATCAACGTAGAATATATGATTAATAGGAAAACAAACGCCAAAGCCAGCTTTGGGAGGCCCTTTCTTTATCTCTAAAAACCAGTATTTACTGGCGGAGTGTGTGCTCGCTGAGATGGGGGTGGTGGGGTCAGGGCTCAGGAGTTCTTGCTGCCATTGGCGAGCACTGGCTCTCACCCATTCCTTTCATGCTGCTGCACGAATCCCACCCCCACTCCCAAGATGTTTTAGCACTGAAAAGAGAAGGGTGTGCTTTTGGTCTTTAACACCATCCATATGGCTAAAATTTTCCAATGTCAGGATGGAAAAGCAAAGATCATGTCAACTTTTTAAAGGAACATATGTAGCGTGGAACTCTCAGAGGAGGTGGTGAGGTTTTTTTTTTCTCATGCTTGGTTGACTTGTGTTTGCTGTAGTTAACTTTAATCTAGCTGTTCAAGGAAGCAAAGGGGAGTCAGGCAACTTTGCTTACTATATAGGAATAATAGAAGTAATATTTGAATGGCAAAAATGTACAATAGGGAAAAGCACCAATTTAGGCTCTACAACCCAAAACATGATAGATAGAGAGTCCATATCGTTGCTACTGTGACTGACAACTGGGTATGAATCATTTGTTTATTTACTATGGACTTGGTGTGAAATAAACAATCTTGAAGGAAGGAGAAATACCAGCCAAGCACTCTACTCACCTGCATCCTGTGTGTAACACACCACACCAGCTAAACCCTGGTAACCCTTCGTTCTCCTCTTAGTAAAAGTACATTCAGCCAAAGTGGTCTCTAATCCCCGACAACGCACATGCACACAATCAGCAGAATTTATATGAAGATCGTCAGTAATATAAAACCTTCCATGAGTATCAAAAGCACCTCTGCAAATAGAATAAATGAAACATTATGTAGAATAATTAGTACTTTGCATTTATAAACTTATTGTAGGAGATAAGGGTCTAGAGTAATATACTCTCATTTTCTACATACATGTTATAGATTGGGCAAGATACTTAAATTCTCTGAGCCTCAATATCTTCACCTGTAAAAGGGAATATAACCACTTCACTGGTTTTGTAAAGATTAACTAAAATAATCAATTTAAACTAACTAGGTTTCCAAACATGGCAAGCACTCAGCAAATATTGGTTTTCTCTTCCCTCTTTCTTATTAAGGATGAATGCTTCTTTTTCACTCCTGATGTTTCCTTCTAATCTGAGGTCTGTCTCTCCTGGTCTCTCTCTCTTCCTTAATTGCATTTCTCTCCAGGAAAGGGAGTGGATTCTTTGGTCAGAGGATTTTGGTAGTATAAATCAGGCATGGTCAGCTTATCCTTTCCTTCTTTTCCTTTTGGGAGTCTCTCTGCTTGCCCCATGCTCTAAGTCTTACCTGGTTGGTCCCATTATTGCCTAAGATTTGGGAGGTTAAGCCGGTTTAATTCTAGTAGATCCGTTTTGCTTTTACACTAAGTTATATCCTCAATTCAGCCTTGATAGTATTAAGGTGATGTTTTTGCAGCTATATGCCATTGCTTGGACTTCTTAATTTGTTCAGAATTTGTGTGCAGAAGAGGCTGCCTCAGTGAACCAATATCCTAGAGATGATGATTTACAGTGAACAATTTACAACAGTGAAGAATTTACTTCTTCCTGGACATTCAATTGCTCCTTGCTTCTGTTTAGAAGTTAAATGGGGAAAATAGGTTAAAAATAAAAAGTTGAGCAAAGATGCATCAGGCAAATGGAAACAAAAATAAAACAGTAATGGCAATATAAATTGACTAGTTAGAATGAAAGGCACAAAGAGAACAAGGAGGGTAATTTTAATTATTTCAGATTCATAATGAAAATATAGTATTCATGAAGCCATGCCATGAGAACAAAAGAGAGCCATTTGGGTGGGGCAATCTGATAGATAAATAATCTGAAAGACCTCTCAACTGAAAAATATCTAAAAATACTATATGCAATATAATAAATGCCTAAAATGAGCTCTTAGAGAAGTAAGGGAAATCCCCACTGGCTACAATCAGAGAAGTCTGTTTATGAGCTTATGCAAAATGTAACAGCAAAATACTGAGAGAGTTTACCAGTAGGTTGAACCACAGGTTGAAGGTTACAAACTGCTGAAAATCAGAAATATCCTATGGCTCAATTGAACAATGAGAGACTCTCACCAATGAATTACTAGCAGATGTGTTTCAGGAAGAAGAAAATTGAATCCAGAACGAAAGAGTGAGATGAAAGAAGGAACAAACCACGAGTTGGTAAACATGAAGTAAATCTGAGTAAGCACTGACCAAAGAATAGGAATAATAACTGCTTATTATTATTTATTTTTTTTTTTATTTTTATTTTTTTTTATTTTTTTTTAAATTTTTATTTTGTCAATATACACTGTATATGATT